CCCATTGAGCATCTCTGGAGAGACCTGAAAATGGCTGTCCACCAACGTTTACCATCCAACCTGACAGCACTGGAGAGGATCTGCAAGGAGGAATGGCAGAGGATCCCCAAATGCAGGTGTGAAAAACTTGTTGCATCATTCCCAAAAAGACTCATGGCTGTATTAGCTCAAAAGGGTGCTTCTACTAAATACTGAGCAAAGGGGCTGAATACTTATGACCATGTGATATTTCAGTTTTTCTTTTTTAATAAATCTGCAAAAATGTCAAACATTCTGTGTTTTTCTGTCAATATGGGGTGTTGTGTGTACATTAATGAGGGAAAAAATGAACTTAAATGATTTTAGCATATGGCTGCAATATAACAAAGAGTGAAAAATTTAAGGGGGTCTGAATACTTTCCGTACCCACTGTAATCCTCCATAAAACCACGTCATTTTTATACTTTAAAACAAACACTGCACACAAAAACAAACATTGCTGAAATGTTCTGCCCCCTGCGCTGACGTGTGAAAATCTGAACCATTTCATTGTGTGAACCCTCTTTCTTGAGCTCTTGATCTGTGGTTGAGCATGATCTTTATTTTTATTCTTTTTTTCCTTTATCTTTATACTTTGGTTTTTGTCTGGATTAAACAAACAAGATATAGCATGTAAATTAGTGAACTTTAGAGGTGTTGGTAGGCAGATTTTAGACACAGCCAAACTACCCGTTTCCAGTCTTTGTGCTAAGCTAAGCTAAGCTTCAAACCTGCCAGAAACATGAGCGATGCATCAATTTTCTGATTTGCCAAATTAATTCACACAGAAACAACTTAAGGGAAATGGGAATATCTGAGGTTTAATCTAAAGCCCTGGCTCAAAAACATGTATTTCAAAAAAAAAAAACCCTGATCTGTGGCTTTAATGAACAGCAGAGACTCTGATCCAGTTCCCTAGTTCTGACCCCTAAAGAACACCAGAAGATACATAACTGAAGTCAAGTGGGACCGTTTCAGACTGCTGAGGGTTTGCACGCCAAGAAGACGCCAGGTCGTCTTCACTGGATTGGAGCAAAAACCCCCTCAAAAAAAAAAAAAAGACCACAGAGAGGCGGGACCACCTCATCAGAGGAGGTGTGGAGCAGAAAGACTGGCTTGGGTTGGGGGGGGGGATTGGCTGGGGCCACCGTCCCCGGTGCCTTATAAGGCAGTGTTTCTGTCAGGACTGCTGCTGCTTGCCTGAGAGCAACTCGACTGCACTCCAGAGACAAAGCGGACACTCAGGTTGAATATCAGGGTAAAGAACTAGATACAGAGGGGTTATCCCCACCTCCCTAAAGAGCTGCACTATAAAAGGAGAAGTTCTAGGGGGAGGTGAGGCAGTAAAATAAAGAGGAATGGAAAGGAACAGTAAAGATGAGTAAGGGAAGACAAGAGATTGCTGAGTGAGGAGAAGAGCAGTAAACATTAGGTGGGAGGTGAGTGGACAATATAGGGAGAAAGGAACAAAGAGAATATGTGAATGTAGATGGATGAGATAAACAAACAAACATAAAGGGGGTGGAGGGAATTGAGTGAATATCCAATACAAAGTGCACTGTTATTGAATGGCTTTGTCACCTAGTTCTACACTGAGAAAGCATAATACCGAATGAATATACAAGAGACAGCAAGGGACGGCTGCCAAGAGATGGCCTGGAAGACATCAGAACAACTCTTAACTAATCCATATCTCATATCCATTTCACTTAAGTGCTGTGTGTGAAGTTATGTGGAAGTACCAGGTCTGCGGCTGAATCCAAACGCTGTGGACAGGAGCTCCAGTTCAAATACCTGCAGCGTGTTTAACAAGCCTGAGAGGAGGGGCTGAGCTGCAGACTGAAGCAGAGCCAGAGAGACAGAGATAAGGCCCAAAAGTGAACAGCGGAAAGTGCAGTTATTTGCTGGGACTTTGAGCTCCATATATAGCTGCCAACTATTTACTCTGTGAGGTCATTTCCTTTAGGACAGCAGAAAGGAAAATTATGTGACTTGCAATCGAGTGTCCATATTTTTCTTTCATGTCGAAAAGTGCCCTGTCTTCTGCTTGTCCTCAATCACTCCTTTTACTTGAAGCTGCCAAGTCAGCCCAGTACTTCAGTCAGCAATGGTGTGCTGCCAAATAATGATCACCACAGTTTGCAAAAGGGGAAGGTTGCTGAGACCTCAGCTTACGCTCAATGGGACGATGACAGAGGCAGTAAAATGATTTACAGGTTATATGACCAGAGTGTGCAGCACCATTACAGCATCATTTCTGTGACTTTTCTGCTGGCTTTTCTTTTTGGGAGCAGGTATAAATTAGAGCCTTATTAGAGGATTGTTTACAGGGGGAATCTCTGCTCCAGCATTTAAATGCGACAGTACTGTATATGGAACCTATGAAGGCTCAGCTTTCTTAAAGGGAAGGTCACCGACCTGGTGATGCTGCAGATTCTTCCCTGTCAGCTTGGTGAGCACACTGCTCCTTAGCAAGTCCAACTTGAGGCCAACTATACATCGACTGAAGAGTAAAGCTGAAATGACTGAGATTCTCTTTTAGTTATTCTGGTGTTATTTAGAAGGAGTATCCAAGAGTCAACAAAGCAGCTTTTTGGGATTTTTTTTGCTGCTGCTATGCTACAATACCAGGCGGATTTGTGACCGTTTACAGAATATGGGCCTGAAAGCAATTAGAGAGGCACTTAAAATATGCATGTTTCTATTCCACCTGCAAGAAAGGACAATGAGTTCTTAATGTTTGTGTGTGTGCACATTAGAGTGTGTTTAAATCCCCTGAGCAGCAAAACCAAAGCTGCAAAAAATGGAAAACTGCAGCCTGTTCTCTCCTATGCACGCTTCCCACTCAGCTTTTGTCTCGGACACTCAGCACCTCTATCTCTCCACCTTGCGTGCAGGAAGTAAACATCATCAGAGTTCAAACAAGTATTCTGCTAAATGTTTTAAGGAAAAAAGGAACAGACTAGGAGTGTCTCAAGTAGTGTGAACGGGGAACAGAAGAGGATAAGGACAAGAGGCCCCAAGCTAGATGGGGCCCTTTAAAAGGGGTGAGGTGATGCCTTCTAATATCAACCCAAGAATGTGTATGTCCTGTGTCAAAGTCCAGAAATTCAAACATCATCTCTGGAGCGGTTGTAACTCTACAGCTAAAGTAGGGCTCTGAGTTACAGTCAGGGGAGAGGGTCTGAGGGAAAAGGATCCACCAGCTTTCTATGGAAAGCACTTAAGTTCAGAATTGTTAGTTCTTGTGGAGAAATGTCCATAAACAGCAATTACTCAGGGTAAACGGGGTTACTCTCAAGACGTTCTTTCCTATTTCAGCCCAATATGAATTTTTCCACAGCCTGACATCATAAAACTTACTTAAAAGCATTTGTCAAGGGACACACCACTACTTTTTTTTTTTAAACAGACACAGCTCAGAGTATTAACGTTTAAATTGTGTTTCAACTGCTAAGTATCGAGCTCAGTAAGGTAACTGTAGTCACTTTTGCTATTTGCAAAAGAGGACAATGGACTCTCTTTACACTTGATACCAGTTGGCATCACATTGTACCAGTAAGAGAAATTCAAAATGCTGATTTTGTGTTTACTATATAACGCTCAACGTCCACTAAGACTACTGGTCCATCTGCAGCCTGATGATCAGACAGAAGTACCATTTTGTTTCACGTCAGTCATTGAACTGTTAAACAAATCAGGTGTGTAGGTGATGAATCAGAGGTCTGGACCTGGGACAGAACATCATCTGATGCTCCAAAGATTTTACATTGTGGCATATGAAAGGGCTGTGTAAATAAAGCTTTGCCAGTCTTACAAGTGTAAACAGGGGCAGGGGGACGTGCGCGTTTGCTGATTTAACTGAAGAACCAGCATAAACTCTCACATCTTGTGGCCACTTCACCTCCACTCACTTCCCTGAAGCTTAGGTGTAAACAGCATAGTAGGAAAGTTTTTCAACAGAATCACTAGGAGTCACACACTGTATACAGTATATACACAGTATGTAATCAATGTTTCCTCAGGTTGTGAGGTTTGTGACATATAAACTTCATATTATCAAACACCTTGTGTTCGGTGTCATTTTACTGCTCTTTATTTAGCAAGGAATAAAACCAGACCCACAGTTGTGGTGGATCTGGTGGGCATTTGGACTATCCAGGTCTGCTGGGCCCAAATATTGCTCAGGCGGGGGTTTTAACAGGAAATAACCCTATAAACCCACTGAAAGGGTCATTCTCCACTAGTTAATCCCAGTCTGTAGACACGTTTCGCACCATCTTAACTATTAAATCAGGCTGGTCTACAGTATGTTCGGCGTGAGGATGAACAATCAATGACGAGCAGCCCATGCACCAGCAGTTTACAACTGGGAAGGATGAGGAAATAACACGTTTGTGCATAGGTGTCTAGCGTTTCAGCAAATAGACAACACGGCATCATTAGCGGGGTGTGTCCCGCTTGACTTACCAGCAAACTTTCCAGGTTTATGGCAGACCTGGGGTCTCTGATCATGTCCTCCAGCTTCTTCAGCCGGGTTTCCATCCTCCTCTCGGCGCCCAGCGACATGACTGCAGCGACGTCGCTCGTTAAAAGTTCAGCGAAATATGAAGAAGTCTTCCAGATTGTTTGAGTTTACATGTGAAGCCTCTTTGTTCCTGGCTGACTGCCGTGGGCCTAGCGGAGCAGCCTCGGGCTCCCAGCCTACCCAGTCTACCCAGCTCGCCTCCAGCAGGTGCACAACGAAGAGAAACTATCTCCAAAGCAAAGCGACTCCCCGCTTCCCAAAACTTGCCAAGGGAGCGGGTCTTCAGTTAGCTAGCTATATGGCTCGGAGATAACAAAGACAACGATGAATTATCGCTTCCCGTTAAGTGAAATGTGCATTTTCCAACTCGGCGACAAAGTTTGAATTTGGCGATAGCAGCAACAGGCAGCAGGGCGTTTTCTCTCCCCCACTTTGGTTTTGGCCGCTGGGAAAAGCTTTGGACTCGCCTTTAAAAGAAAATTCCGCTTCGTTTCACCCCATTCACACCGTCTGAAGCCCGCTAGTACCACAGTTTCTCCTTAGTGCTGCCACATGACATCTGAAAGGGCGCTGATGTTAATGTATGTTGTCCCGCGCTGAATTTTAATAAGCAAACATTCTCTTCCTGGATTTCTTCTCGCATTTTCGCATTGGTCTTCCTCGTCTTGCCCTCGCTTCGGGCTCGAGTCACAAAAAGCTGATTTATTCGTAGATTAAAATCCTCCAGTGGATGAATTCGTCACAGCCACTCGCATGATCTACACACCAACACACGGTGAATGAGTCTCTCGCTCTCTCTCTCTCCTCCCCCGACATCAACGCCGAGGACTCAGTTACCCATAAACCCCCTGTCCTCTCCTGTCCTCCTGCAACTCTGCCCATTTGCTCGACTTTTTTCTTTGCCATATATACATTAGCTGATAAATAGGATGTAAATATTATAACAGTCATTAATTATAACTGAATGGAAGCCAGGCTCTTACTTCTACAACATTTCTACAACCAGGCCTACATTTAAAAGCAAAAAAGAAAAACTAAACTTTGTTCTTGAGTTTTGGAGAAAATGTTACAGCGTTGTAAGTTTAATAACAGTGGCTGAAAATTTTATCTAATTGAAGGAATTTCATTGCGCACCAAAATAGTGTAGCTATTATCGGCATTTTCCAGGCCCAAGGCCAATTTGCCTGCCAGGTTTCATGCAAAACAATCATATTACTTATCTGATCAATTGTTAAGGATAATACACACCAGGTCTTTGACAAATAATCAACTGATTAATTTCATATTGATTAACTAGGTGAGAATAGAAATGAACTTATAATGCTCTCATTTACAGAAAGAAAGTGACTGATACATCCATTGCAGGACAAATTCTAACTGAATGTTTGTCTTATATTAGTGAGTGTGGGAGTAGTCACGTCGTGATATATCTGTTTCACACAACAGGGGGGGCTGTCGACCCACAGACACATCTTTTTTACCTTGCTCTAACTTAATGGTCATGGCTTTATTATAATGCACTGTTATATTTTCACTGAAGTAACTACAGTACCTTTTATTGATGTAGTACAACAGTCAGCTGACTTTAACCATTTACATCTGTTATTCAGTCCACAGTTGGTGTGTGCTCACTCCTTCCTGGGGAGAAAGATCCTGCATCTTTAACAGGAAGTGATGCTTTGTACATTTTCTTTATTTGGAAGAGTTAGTGGTTGCTAGTGGCTGGGGGGC